TGCCGGGCTCTCCAGGGATGTAATGGCCGGTACCAGGCTCTCCTGGGCTCTGTGGATGGGTGCTGGGCTCTGCAGGTGCGTGCCGGGCTCTCCAGGGATGTAATGGCCGGTACCAGGCTCTCCTGGGCTCTGTGGATGGGTGCTGGGCTCTGCAGGTGCGTGCCGGGCTCTCCAGGGATGTAATGGCCGGTACCAGGCTCTCCTGGGCTCTGTGGATGGGTGCTGGGCTCTGCAGGTGCGTGCCGGGCTCTCCAGGGATGTAATGGCCGGTACCAGGCTCTCCTGGGCTCTGTGGATGGGTGCTGGGCTCTGCAGGTGCGTGCCGGGCTCTCCAGGGATGTAATGGCCGGTACCAGGCTCTCCTGGGCTCTGTGGATGGGTGCTGGGCTCTGCAGGTGCGTGCCGGGCTCTCCAGGGATGTAATGGCCGGTACCAGGCTCTCCTGGGCTCTGTGGATGGGTGCTGGGCTCTGCAGGTGCGTGCCGGGCTCTCCAGGGATGTAATGGCCGGTACCAGGCTCTCCTGGGCTCTGTGGATGGGTGCTGGGCTCTGCAGGTGCGTGCCGGGCTCTCCAGGGATGTAATGGCCGGTACCAGGCTCTCCTGGGCTCTGTGGATGGGTGCTGGGCTCTGCAGGTGCGTGCCGGGCTCTCCAGGGATGTAATGGCCGGTACCAGGCTCTCCTGGGCTCTGTGGATGGGTGCTGGGCTCTGCAGGTGCGTGCCGGGCTCTCCAGGGATGTAATGGCCGGTACCAGGCTCTCCTGGGCTCTGTGGATGGGTGCTGGGCTCTGCAGGTGCGTGCCGGGCTCTCCAGGGATGTAATGGCCGGTACCAGGCTCTCCTGGGCTCTGTGGATGGGTGCTGGGCTCTGCAGGTGCGTGCCGGGCTCTCCAGGGATGTAATGGCCGGTACCAGGCTCTCCTGGGCTCTGTGGATGGGTGCTGGGCTCTGCAGGTGCGTGCCGGGCTCTCCAGGGATGTAATGGCCGGTACCAGGCTCTCCTGGGCTCTGTGGATGGGTGCTGGGCTCTGCAGGTGCGTGCCGGGCTCTCCAGGGATGTAATGGCCGGTACCAGGCTCTCCTGGGCTCTGTGGATGGGTGCTGGGCTCTGCAGGTGCGTGCCGGGCTCTCCAGGGATGTAATGGCCGGTACCAGGCTCTCCTGGGCTCTGTGGGTGGGTGCTGGGCTCTGCAAGTGGGTGGCAGGCTCTCCAGGGCTGTACTGGCAGGTGCCAGGGTTGTACATGCGGGTGTGGGGCTGTCCTTTGTTTTGCCGGTCTCAGAAAGGAGCAGGAGGTGAGGTGCAACCAGACCAGCACTGTCAATTGGTTTGATTACAATAATCTGAAGTAGGGACATTAAAATGCCCTTGTTTTGTGTGAAAAGTGATTTTTAGTGGCAGGACTACCGAAAAACTTTGTTCACCTAAAATTTTTGGTAGCCAGTTGCCTTCAGATTTCTTGCAGTGTGGGAATAGCCCTTGAATTGCCCTATATGCTTTGCACCCACTTTCCCTTTGTTTCTCCACTGCTTTGTTGGGCCACCAGGAGCGTAAAGAATTGCCTATTACTTCCAGGTATTTGGGGTGGGTTGTTATTTGCTCCCCTTCCTCCTAGATGAAGGTGTTTGGTACTTGATGATTGGTCATAAGGGGTGTGGTGATTATAGCCCATTGGCCGGTAAAGGAGAGTCTGACTTTCGCTTTCATAGCTCCTTCCTTTAAGGCCGTGACACACTGCACGCGAAGCCGCGCAGAGCGAAGCAAAGCTATCCGGCACGGAGCTCTGCGTCCAGTGTGTGAGCTGAGCGCAGTCAGATGATTGACTGCACCTTCAGCCAATCGGCTCGTCCGTAACAACCAGCTGTCGCATGCCGACGCGCTGGTTTATACGCGCGATTGGCTGAAGATTAAATTTTTTCATCTCGGCACGCTCAGCTACCTTGCGTTGCCGAGGAGAAAATTACATGACACACTGCTCGCAAAGGCAGCGCGCCACCGCTCCGCTCTGCTTTGCGTGCAGTGTGTCACGGCCTTTACCCTCCCCAGCAGAGCATCAGGAAGGGATCGCGTATAGCCCACCCCACCATGCACCCCAATACACTCAAACCTGCTCCCATGCACCCCCACCTCAGGTTTCTCATCAGTGGAACAACATGCTGTTACTTGGCAGATGGTCAGTCTGCAGCTCCTGGTGGCCCGTGCCTTCTAAGTATCATAAAGCTCAGTTGCTTCCTCCACATCACTTGTCTCCTTGCTCCGCTGAAGCTACCTGTTGTGTTTTTGACGATCTTTTGGCCCCATTGCCCACTGCTGCTTTTCAGAAATAAAGGGGGGAAAGGCGACTACAACCCCTTGTGGCAACAATGAGTGAGTCTGGGGCATTTTCAGAAAACAGAGCCCCTGTGGAGTTGCCTACTTTTTCTTTTCCTGCTCACACTGGCCTTAGGCAAAGAGAAAGTAGAGGGAAGGGGCAAGCACTCGGGTACCTACAGTCCCCCATTCCCTGCGTGTGCCTGGTCCCCCATTCCCTGCATGTGCCTGGTCCCCCATTCCCTGCATGTGCCTGGTCCCGGTATTGTCGGCTGTAAGGTTGAAGGAACGGGAGATAATGCCTACTATCTTCACCTGGGATTCCAAATTGTAGATTAAATATCTTTGTAGGGTTAAACATTCCAAGTTGTAACTACATGGTACTGGGAGAACTGGAATGTCCACCACACTGCCTAGCTCTTTTATGATCTGCTATGATGGCAATCTATGTTTCAGAGTCATTGTAAATAGAGCTGGCGGACGTGAGGTAAATGACAAATTGTGTGATGGAGGCCTGGCCTGATACTGGAATTTCCTGTTCTCGATGTAAACAGACAACTGATGTACATACTTATGCAAAGAGGCTGCATAGGTGGACAGAGGTGCTGATTAGGGTTAAGATGACTTGTCATATTTTCAATGTTCCTTGGAGTCCGTTGGGTTGTCTCACCCATCTTGGGGCTCCTCCAACATGACCTCCACACAATGGGTCACCTTGGCTTTGTTCCCACCCATATTCGTTCTTGGTTTTCCCGCTCACCTTTCAACGTTCTACCTCTCTTATTGCATTCTTCATTAAAAGAATAAAGTAAAACCCCTTACAGAGCTGGTCTACTTGCATCTCCAAGGCCACAAGAGGTTTTCAGACTTGGGACCTTAGGATCTCACCACCAGTATACAGTACCAGAAACCCAATGGGAATGGATTAGGTGTTGTGCCTAACATCTGCCAAAAACTAAATAGGGCAGACTGATCCTTTTAAAGAGAATCTGTCATTTTGAAAAGAATGGTGTGACGGGTTCTTTTGGTAGGCCTCCCCACTAGTACTCGCTTTTATCGTCCATCCTTTAGAGCTGTGGTTCTCAACCTGTGTAACCTCAGGAACCACATTTGTCATTGGTCATTTAGTCGCGACTCAAGTCGCACTGCAATGGAAAGCACAGCATTGCAGTACTGCGCTTTTTATGGTGCAGGCGATGGAACTGTAGGTGGGAGGTGCTTTTGGGGTACCATTTAAATGAATGGCAATGCAGCTCCCACACCAGAACGCATGGTAGGTGCGATTGCATGGTACAGTGCGTTAATCGCATGGGACTGTGTGATTAGTGAACTGTACTATTGTGAACGTACCTTCAAAACACTGACAGTGTCTGTCAGTGTTTTTGAAGGTCTGTTCACAATAGTACAGACAGACAATAGTACAGACACAACATCAGACATCATTTTTTTTAAGATCCAGCCAGTCTCCCTACCTTACTAGAACTGGAGTGGATCCTGAACCTGGGGTCCAGTGTGGTCTGCTATGCTGTGATGTAGCTCCGTAGAGTTGCCGGGAGCCAGAATGTGTTGTCACTCCAGGGCATGCAAGGGGAGCTGTAAGCAATGCACATATCAATAGAGCTCCCTCGCGGCCATAGCCCCATCCCACCTCAAGTTGACATATTTTGAAAGTTTGCTTGGTGCGAGAACTGACAGTGCTAACCTAGAAAAATGCAAGGCATGTGGAGACCCACTGGACACAGGGTCGCGACCCACTTTTGGGTCACGACCCACCAGTTGAGAACCAAGGCTTCAGAACCTTCAGAAATAACTGGTGTTTATGAGTATGGGGAGTATGTAACCTTCGCCCCTTTGACCTGTGACCTTCTCACCTCCCAGAGTGCAGTGCTAGGGCCTAAACGGCCATTCAACAGGGCCGTAGACTGTTATGTAGGGGAGAGGAGCGGAGCATTAACTCTGTGCTATGACACAGTCCAAGGCAGTGGTTACACAGGGTTTAGACCCAGGGTTCTGAGATAGGAACACAGCTGCAGGGGAGTGTCAATGCATGGTGTGTGGCGGAAGGGGGAATTTAAGAGAGCCTTCCATGTGCACCTTGCTTGAAAGCTGGTTATAAGTTGATGAGTGCGTTTGCCATTTGTTTTGCTTGACTGATTTGGTCCAGTGACACACTGGTGGTCTCAGCTGCCGTTGTGATGTGCGGGGTCCCTTGTGTGTCCCTGTGCCTTTTAAGGAGGTTGGGCTGCCTCCTGGCGAACCTGCACCCAATTTTATCTTTTGCTACATGTGCTCCAAGATGGAGACTCTCATAGGTTAGAGTTAGGACCGCACTACACAGAGGGGTCTTGACGAGGCAGTGCGGCTTTCACCTCTGTTTTTAACCTTCGTGGTTAGACAGGTTTTTTTTTTTTTTGCATGCTGGCTGGTGAGTGTGCTGGGAAACATTTTGCTGTTTTAAGAGAACCTGTCACTTTTCCCTAAGTGACCAAAATGACAGATTCTCTTTAGGGAAGAAAAGTAGGCAAATATAGAAACCATGTCCTTTTGGTTCTCTTAAGTATTAAATCCCCAAAACATCTCCTTGTGACCTGGTGTAATTGCTTGCTTTAAATAGAGCTCTGGGTTAATATAAAACATAGTCCATACATTTGTATTAATGAAATGTTTCTAATTCTAGGTAACGTGGACCGGAGTGACTTGTAAGATGCCTTCTGTGGCCCTTTTCCTAACCTTGGTGCATGGGTTCGCACTATCTGCCGGGGAGGCAACCAGTACTAGTTCCTCCCCCAAGCTAATCCTGGTATCATTTGATGGGTTCAGGGCGGACTATTTATTGAACCACTCATTGCCTAATCTCCAGGAATTCTTCAACGATGGCGTTCTGGTGAGGGAAGTGACAAACGTCTTCATCACAAAGACTTTTCCCAATCATTATACGTTAGTGACCGGCTTATATGCTGAAAGCCACGGCATCGTAGCCAACTCAATGTTGGATTCCAGCACAAGTCAGATCTTTAATTTGTCCGACTTTGAATCGAAGACAAACCCAGTTTGGTGGAATGAAGCAACGCCTATCTGGGTGACCAACCAGCGCATGGGCCGAAAAAGCGGCTCAGCCATGTGGCCTGGCAGCGATGTGAAAATTCAGAATATGACCCTCAATGACTTCTTGCCGTACAACTCCAATGTCACCTTCGCTGAGCGCGTCGATAACATTACTGCCTGGTTTACGAGGCCCGATGATCCAATCAACTTTGTCACGCTCTATTTTGAAGAACCTGATGCTAGCGGACACCATTTTGGACCAGAAAACAAGGCAAATATGTCCACAGTGTTAAATGAGGTAGATGAACATATTAGATATTTGGTGTGGAAGCTAAAGGAAGCAAAACTTTGGGATACAGTGAATGTGATAATAACCAGTGACCATGGAATGGCCCAGTGCTCACAGGACAGGATTATCATACTGGATAATTGCATTGGTCCCGGGAACTATACCTTGGTGGATTCAACTCCAGTTGCTGCAATTCTGCCCCTTCAAGGTAAGTGTAAATTAGGGGTGGACTGGACACATTATTATGGAATTCAGGAGCCAGTCTGTCCAAACCAGGAGCCAGTCTGTCCAAACCAGGAGCCAGCAGGAATTTTTTTCAGGAGCCAGCTCCATTGACAACTAGAGAAAACCTCAAAAGTTAGAAGCCAGCTCTAATTTTTAATGACACCGGGCTCCTAGGGTGTGTCCAGCCTTGGTCTAAACGCATGTTTCTATTTTATAATATGGAAGGGCATAGGCATGGGTGACCTTGTTGGTGTCACTTTCCAAGTTACTTGTACCTTGATGGCCCCAAAGCTCCTACTGCGCTATCTATGGGATACAACCATACTGGGGATGCACCAATACCAAGTGTTTGGGTGAGTACTCGTACTCGCCCAAATGCTCCGATACCGGAACTTCTGGTCAGAGGAAGATTTCCTCTGACCAGCATTGCCATAGGGGAAGATGGAGCCGGCTTCCCGGGCAAGCATGATGTATTGACCCAGCTTCCTGATTGGCTGGGAAGCCAGGCTTCCTGGCCAATCAGCATCGAGCTGGCCGAACAGCCAACTCCTTGCTGATTGGCTGGGAAGCTGGCTTTCGAGCCGGCTTCATGGCCAATCACGGAGACAGATCATTACTCGCTGCCCGGCCTCCATAATTGGCCAGAAAGCTGGCTCGATGCTCATTGGCTGGGAAGCCGGTTTCCAGGCCAGTCACAATCAGGCCGGCCAAACAACAAGGAGCCAGCTTCCTGGGCAATCAGGAAGCCGGGCGGCAGGTCATTACCCGCTGCCCGGCTTCCTGATTGCCCGGGAAGCCGGCTCCATGCCAGCGAAAGCACCGGTATCTGTACTAAGTATCGGCGAGTACCGAAAGCAAAATATCGGTTCTCAATACCACAAAACCAGTATCGGTGCATCCCTAAACCATACTAACTGTTATTCTCAGATACAATGATACTTACTGTTAAACTGGTTCATTAGATTCAAGAGCCCATCCGAATGTAGATTATGGTGACGTCCAACCAGCTTATAGGTTCCTTAAGATATGTGATTTGGGGGTGCCTACTGTGTTTCACCGAAAATAAGACGCTGTCTTATATTTTTTTTTGCCCCCCAAAAAACACACTAGGTCTTATTTTCAGGGGATGTCTTTTTTTATTTTTTTAATGTACAACAATCTAAAGTATCGGCTAATGCGGCTCTGCTCCCTCCGCTGCAGCCTTGCTTTCTACAGCGCCAGCTTCCTTTCCCATCAGGGACAGCGGTACCAGCGGTGCAGCAGCGTGGACATCAATCAGTGGACAGCGCGGTAAAGTACGGTACCATTTACTGTTACACATTACAGTACAGTACCATGACATTATGCTGTGCCTTCGGGGGGACAGCAGTTAGTGTAGTATGGTACTGGAGTGCTCCCAACGTACACTGAACGTCGTCAGTCACGAAGGGGTTAATACAGTATGTCCCTGCAGCCTGATACCATCTCTCCTGCTCTTCAAGTTCCCTCTCACATGCTACCACCAAACTAGGTCTTATTTTCGAGGTAGGTCTTATATTACAGGAATCTTGGAAAATAGTGCTAGGTCTTACTTTCGGGGAAGCAGGGTACATAGACTGGAAATTGACCTCATCAAGTTATGGGCTTCTAATCTCTATGAAGCATTTTAGAACATTCTCAAGAAAACATCTGGCCTTATCAAAGTGATTTTTTTAAGTGATCTATAATGTTCTATAAGAAAGCTGAGGGTTGTTGGTTATATTGGCACTTACATATAATTATCAAATAAACTTCTTGTTAGGGAAAAGAACTCAGCTGATTTCAGATTGACATTCCAAGTCCACACAGCTCTTCTGGTCAGTTTAATGAGAGGAGAGCATCCCTTCCCTGTGAGTGAATCCAGTTCTATTCTGAAGGATGTCTTTAGGTGAGAGGTTCATACATGGGCCATCACTCCTCAGGGCATGCCTGGGAATCGCCATGATTTGTTTCTGTAGGTGGTGAATTTTTGCTCGTTGTAGAGACTTTACAACTTAGCAAATCACTGCTGATGGTGGAAGGCATACCCCAATATCACCTTTTGTTAGCCCATTTTGTGAGATTAGCACGGAAGTGCAGGAAAAACTTTTATCTATTGTGCTCTACACCAGTCTAAGTAAAGCCAGATGAGGACCCAAAGCCTTCCTCCCTGCTAGGTTCAGAACTACTTTAGATAAAAAGACGGTAGGTCTCAAATCATGGAGTGGTTAGCACAGTCTCCAGACTTAAAGTAGTATTAGACTATCAAACTTTTTTTTCCCCAATAATGAAGCACAAATCAATAATGATATCACATAGGGGGCTTCTTATTCCCCTATGTGATAACAATAAAGTTAAAAAGGAGAACTATGAGATGAGTGATTTTCACTCAACCTCATAGTTCTAGCCGACCTGTGACAATGAAACTGTCACACGTCGGCTCAGTAGATCAGGAAGTAAGTGAACACATACCGTCGCTCGCTCACTTCTCGATCTAACCCTACAACGAGCTGTGACTGTCACTCACGGCTTCCTGCAGTGATTCCCCGCTCCTATCCTCCAGCGCTGACTGGCGGAACGGAGGGGGCGGGCACAGCTGGGTGGATGTCGACAGTGATGTCGGGATCCGTCCCACCTGCGGCGGTCTCAGTATAGCTGTAGCTTGCGATATAGTGAGCTTTGGGTCACGGGTGGACGCTTAAGAGACTGTGACCCTTAAGAGAACTATGGGGAAAAACACTTACAACATAGTTCTCTATTAAATTAAAAAAAACGAAAAAAAATAATGAAAGTTCCCCCAAAAATTAGTCGCACATAAAGAAATTTAAAAAAAACCTCACATTTTTAAAGTCCCCAGCCCCACATACACGCGCGCAAACATGTGGCAGGTGCACATACATGTGAAAGCGATGATTGCGCCCATTACACCGCACATGTTGCATAACGCCGCAAACGTCGCCGTGGGAGCAATAATTTTAGGGCCTATCAATCACAGATGACACTAAACTGATGAGCGGTAAAAGCTTTTAAAACGTCGCCTATGGCCAATTTTGGGTATGGTAGTTTATTGCGATTTCGCAGGCGCACGCAATTTTAAAGTTTGACATGTTTGATGTTGATTTACCCGACATGACCCCGTCTTTTATACTTTACCAAAAAATTGGGTAATAATAAATGTTTTATAACATAATGTAGGGAGAACAGGTGTTTTTTAAAACTTAAGGTACTTTTTTGCATTATATAGCAAAAAATAAAAACCTCCAGCGGTGATTAAATACCACCAAAAGAAAGCTCTATCTGTCCCCAAAAATGGCATAAAATTAATTTCAGTACAGCGCTGCATGACGGAATAAACGTCAGTCAAAGTACCGCAGCGCTGAACACTGAAAAATGGCCGGGCCAGGCAGGGGGTGTAACACCCCGGTCAGCAAAGGGTTAAAATATCAAAGTATGTAAATTTCATCAAAAATCAGAAAAATGAGATTCCAAAACGTTTGAGCGGTAAGGTACATGTGACCTGGGGCACCTATTGTACTTCTGGAATGAAAACCAATTGCAATGTGTTCTTCTCCGCAGATACAAACTATGTCTACAATCTGCTGAAGAACTGCAGCAATAACATGAAGGTCTACCTGAAGGAGGACATTCCGGATCGGTATCACTACAAGCACAACGCCCGGATCCAGCCCATCATCCTGGTGGCCGATGAAGGATGGACAATAGTGCAGAACGGATCGTCCAACGTAAGCTGTAAGGCATTAATGCGCCCCCCCTCGTCTTTGCATGTGTGATCGCCTTTTATTGTTGGAGGTTTTTCCACACATTTGAATGTGTTGAATCATTCAAAAAGCATTTGGACAACTTCCTCAGAGACCGTAACATTCAGGGGGACAGGTACTCTTAAAAACAAGAGCACGCAGGGCCTCGTACACACGCATGCACATGCAGAATCACATGCATAACACGCAATGGGTTGAACTTGATGGCCCTGTGTCTTCCACCTCAAATACTGTGTAATGTCCACATCTAAATATCATCATTGCACCCGACTCCCACAGCTTTACCCCCAAAAATGAATTGATAGTTAAAGCGGAATACTCCTCTAAGTTCTATACCCACATCAAGTACCACACATTCTATAGCCATATCCCACGTCCAATACCCCAAGTTCTATACCTTCACCTCACATCTAATACCCCAAGTTCTATACCTTCACCTCACATCTAATACCCCAAGTTTTCTACCCTCCCCCCTTAACATGCTAAAGATTTTTTTTTTAAATCCTTTCATTTTTCTTTACATAGCTTATTTTATGCCCAGTGATGTCATCACTGGGTCTCTGTTCTTCTCCATGCAATGCAGCAGGCAGATCATAGGTAGTGGGAGGGTCCAGCAGGATGCTGAGTATAGCTTTCTCAGACAGGAAGAAAGCATAAATCTCCCCAACGGTGTTACAGACAGGAATAGAAACCTGGCAGAAATGTTACATCTTCTCTCTGTCCAAAAGGACAAATATATTGCTTGGAATTTGGCTTTATATTTAATTTATTAAACCGCATTCTAATTCATGAACACGATCACATTGTAGGTAAATTTCATTAAAACTAAAGGTTTTATCAGTATATGAGCATTATATTGTAAGTAAAGAAACTGACTAAGGGCCAAGCGAAGGAAATAAAAGTACCAGAAAAATGAATAAGGTGGTAGAAGAATAAAGAACTGCACACATCTCCATAGTTTCATTTTATACATTTTTTTAAACTAAATTTTACACACTTTTATTTAATTCTATACACTTTTTAATTTAAATTTATATTTGTTTTTGGTAAAATTTTTGCACTTTTTTTATTTAATTTTATAAACTTTTAATTCAATTTTATACACTTTTTTAAAATATTTAATTGTATGTACTTTTTATTTAAATTGTTTTTTGTAATCAAATTGTATGCACTTTTTTTAAATTTAATTTTATGAATATTTTATTTCATTTTATGCACTACTTTTTTTTCTACACCTTCTTTTTTTTTATTTTTTATTTCGTTTTACACGCTTTATTTTTATAAACTTTTTAAAAAATTGATTTTATACACTTTTTTTATTTCATTTTATACACTTTTTAAAATTTCATTTTATATACTTTTTGTTGTTGTTCATTGTATATAGTACACTTATTATGTGGGATGTGTAAAGTGCGCTTTTTCTTTGTGTGTATTTTATATCACCGGTCGGATTTATTCTTGGAATGACTTTTGCCGTCCAGAACATTTTGTTAGAGGGACTGAACACTTGAGAGCCATTAATGGACATCTCCTCCAATTGGCTCATTTAGAGCAATATAAACAATACAACAGAAATTTTGGG